CAACGTTGCGTTAAGTAAATACATGTGACCTTGAAGATTACTAACCTGCCAGTTTCGCGAGATAACGTCTTTTGTTAAATTTAATAAATTTCTTTCGTATTTGCGAGTGTTGTACAACTTGAGAACGGATGCACAAAGTAAAGAGCACTGACCTGTGTGACCATGTCCCAGTAGAATCCGTCCAGCATCGATTTTCCATGTTGGTGTTGTCGGCAGAGCGCAGGCCAAAGTTGAGCGCGGACCGGGCTATTGATAGGCCAGGAGTTTTCTCTGATGAGGGGTTTGAGCTCCCGCTTGCGGCCCTGCTGCAATAGAGGCTGGATCTCCTCGAAGGTTTTGAGTGGTGCTTTCTTGCCTGCGAATAACGGGGATGGTAAGCACTGTGTCCAGATCGGCGTGTCGGTTTGCGCGAGCGACTCGGCGCTGGGGGCGCGAAACGCGGCCGGTTCTATGTACATCGCACTGTTGACGCGAGGCACATGCTTTCGGTGCGCGCGCGCCGGCAGCACTGCCAGTCAGCCTCCGGAAAATACGATAGCGCGCCCCAACGCTGTCACACTTCGATTGTTTATTTTCCCCGCGCTATCGGGTTCTGATATACCGCTTAATTTAACGTTGAACTCATGGCTGATTTTTTTTATTTTTTGCTACTTCTTGCAAGATTTTTTTATAGTACAATATTGCGAATTTTTAAAATAATGCAAGCGTAATAAAATCTGTGACGTACAACAACGGACGTTGTTTGCACGTAACCTTAAGTGTTACGTGTAAGTATGAACATACTGTTTTAAAGAAAAATTTAAAAATTAGTTGGCATTCCGTCTAGTAAACATCATTTAAAATGTAGAGTTAATAAATATGTACAAGTGTGGTATAAAAATAGTTATAAAATCATAGCGAGGCGATTCGCTGCTTTTGGCGATAGGCCAGCATAACGAAAGTCTCGTATTTGCATACGTAACCACTTGTTCGGAATATTTTTACTTTTAGCATTTGTTATATGAAGACATTTTGTTTACCATGACGTCTTTTTTGACGAGCCCAGAGATGCTGAAAAACGCACCGAGATTTTTTATTAGGGCGAGTTACTGGCGGAGAAGCGGAGAAAAATGTTTTGCTAGATCAAATGGTTTAGGTATTTACTATTAAATAAAGGTGTTACAAAAATGTAGGATAAACCCAAGGATTGGAAGAAGGATATTGTCTAAAAAATGTGCTAATGTGTTACACGATACGATGTATTTTATCCTGAAAACAGTCTAATACTAATTATTTGAGAATAAAATATCTAACTTTGTACATAATTTTTATATAATAAATAATAATAA